GAAAAAAAAAAAATCTAGGAAAGATGCTGGGAGAAAGGGCGCTGCAGAAAAAAAATCACCTGCTGTCGTCAGCGCGCGCTGCTGGGAGCTCGCCCTCTCTCTTTCCCCTCCCTCCTCCGGCAGCTCCGCCCTCCCCCGCTCCTTGGCAACAGCAGAACCAGGCCTAGGTGGGTTCAAGCCCTAGGCTCCTGACTACTTGCAGTCCTTATGCTGGTTGCTTCTCTTGAAGGAGATGGGGGACTCAGGCTCCTCAGTCATGGGGAGGGGTTGGGAGGGGGCGGTGTTAAAGTTTAAAAACATGGAGGAAACCCTAGTAAAATGTCTGTCCCAGGATAGACCCTGTTTTATTATTATTATTATTGATTTGAGTTAGAGACATCAATTTGTTGCTCCACTCAGTTATGCATTCATTGGTTCATTCTTGCATGTGCTCTGACTTGGTCAGAACTGGCAACCTTGGTGTATTGGGAGGACCAACTGAGCTACCAGCCAGGGCGAGGATAGACACCTTTTAAAAAGGGAGCTACTGTCGTTGGCCAAAGTCACCAGGCTGAATTGGAACCCATTTTGGCTGCCCCCTGATCCAAGCACTTACCAGTCTTATGCACACGCCTGGCTCAGATTTGTGGGGATGGGGCCCCCCAGGCTGGTGGTACCCTGTCTATTCCTTCCTTAGAGACTCCCAAGAACTACCCTGTCCCTGTTCATTCAGCCCAGGGACGACACCATGGAAGAGGCAGTGAAAGAAGATTCTTGGAAGGAGCCTAGGTGGTGAAGCTGGGGTGGAGGGGAAACAAAGGGGCCGTGTTGGGGTCCAACCCCAACAGGTCCAGGGGTCCCCAAAGGTGTGGACGGAGTTGGTGAAGAAGGAATGACATGGAGGCAGTATTCAGGTGATCATCATAGCCAGGTTCTGTGTCCAGGTTCTCCAGCCAAGTTCTGTCTTTTATTGTCTTGTTACAGCTGTATTTATACCAGTTGATTTTAATCCTATCAATTTATATTCCAAAGGTTAGGGCGTTTCTTATCTCCATTCCAGGGAGTAAAGATTATGTAGCTTAAGGATGATTGTTCATAGTTAAAGTGATCAACTACCTGCCTGGCATTTAGTTAAGGGGTTTTATCCCCTCCCTAACTTCAGGGAAAAATACCTACCTGGGGAAACAAACTTTCTTGGAGAGGTGACCTTGGTTAAAACACATAGCGCCAAGAAGGTGAGCAAACATATTAAGAACAGTATGCCATATACGCCAGGTCCCTTGAAACATATGCTGTGCAGATGTTTCTTCCCTGCAGCGACTGTGTCAAGCAGCAAGGATGGACCGGCTTCCGGCAGGGCAGTGTCCTAGGGAAGGGGCGGGCCTGACAGTAAAGGATTTCCAGCATGTTCCTTACCCTGACTTTTGGTCTTCCTCTCCCTGGGTGGTAGAGTAGATTTGGGGGTCAGACAGACTTGATTTGGCTCTGACACTTAACTACCTGGGTCACTGGGCAAGTTGGGGCATCCCTGGACCTCAGTCTCCTCATTTTTGAAGTAGAGGAAGTAAGAGTTACCTCAAAGTGCTTTGTGAAGATGGTTAGGGACTAGGAGCAGAAGCTTTGAGTCAAATCGCAGCCTAGCTTTTGCATTTCTTAGCTGCAACTTCCTGACCTTTAGTTTCATCTATGAATGGGAGTACTATTTATAAACTTGCAAGGTTGTTCTAAGAATGAAAATAAGAGTCCTGGTCGGTGGGGCTCAGTTGGTTGAGTGTCATCCTATGTGTCAGGAGGTTGCTGGTTCAGTTCCTGGTCAGGGCACATGCCCATGTTGTAGACTCTGTTCCTGGTGGGGGCATGCCAATCAATGTTTCTCTCTCTCTCATGTTGACTATCGCTCCCTTTCTCCTCCTCTCTCTAAAATCAATAAAAACATACATCACATCTAGAATATTCTCAACAATAAATATTTTTAAAAGCCCAGAGTAAGAAAATGAGATAATGCACGAAAAGCGCTTGCTTACCACGACACCTGGCATATAGCAATGGCTCAGTAAGCGGCAGCTATTAGCATTCAAAGAACCCACCCAGAAACCCATAGGTGGAGCGTCTTCCCAAGCAGGCCAGCCACCTGGACACCTGCTCCAGGAAGACCTCTGGTTCTTCCAAGTCCCTTTAGGTCTCGTATTGATGTCCCTCCATTTATGTCCCCTACACTGTCTTCTACTCCCTACACCTAGATTCATTCACTAGCCTTCAGTTCTGTTTCTCTCCAACATAGGCAGGGTTTTCAGCATCATCTAAGCCAGGGGCATTGGTGTTTCCGGGCAAGAAAGTCATTTATGTGTTCAGATTGGGAACTGATTTGCAAAACACAGCTGTTTTGTTCTATTAAAACCTTGAAATCAAACAGAATGAGAAGACAATTCTGATTAGTCAATTATCTGCTAGACTTCCTCCTACTGGGTCTTTGCCTCTGGATAATGTGATTTGAGTTCCGCAAATAAAATGATGCCTGCATTGTTTTCCAGTCATTAGGAAATACATTTCTATGAACAGCATAATCTGGTCTGACACTTCTTCTTTAAAAAAAAATGTATATTTTATTGATTTTTACAGAGAGGGAGAGGGATAGAGAGTTAGAAACATCGATCAGCTGCCTCCTGCACACCTCCTGCTGGGGATGTGCCCGCAACCAAGGTACATGCCCTTGACCGGAATCGAACCTGGGACCTTTCAGTCCGCAGGCTGACGCTCTATCCACTGAGCCAAACCAGCTAGGGCTGGTCTGACACTTCTTACTCCCAATTCTACATACCTCTCCTGATGCCTGCCCTGTGCCTTGGGCATTGTGGAACATAGATGGAGCCTAGCTTGGAGGTGGGTGGGCTCAATTAGGTGTTTTATGGGAGAACTGGGAGACAGGCACATAATTAGAAAACAGTTTGGTCAGCATAAGAGATTTTCATCACAAGGTGCTGAATCAATAACTAATGAGAGATGAGTAGGAGCTCTTCCATCAGAAATGTAAGAGTCTTTCAGTAGATTTTGGAGTCAGGCAGACCTGGTTTGGCTCTGACACTATCTGTGTCACTTCTTTTCTGAAAAATGGGCATGGGTTAGAGGTGAGTCGCCCTTTGCCACATGCAGTGACAACTTGAAGAGAGAAGCTGTGAACTAAGGATTGTGATGGGACAAAGAATCTGGAGCGTTAGTGACATTGTGGGGCTGCTGCACCAACCTACCTCTGGACATTTTTGTTTATTTCCAATTTAATTCTTTTCTTTTGTTTATTTTTAGAATTCTTCTTATGAGAGAAAAGGAATCTATTTCTGTTTAGGACACTTTCATAATGCTTGTAGCAATATGTAAATCCTAATTAATATTGATAAGGATATAATTTTTTTCATCTAAATAGCCAATTCTTTAAGCATGGTTATTTAGCTAGTCTATCCTTTCCTCACTGATTGGTAATGCCTCCTCTAGTATGTAACAAGTTTTCATATTTATGTGGATCTGTTTCTAAATTTTATATTTAGTTTTTGTTGTTGTTGTTTTCATGTATTTTTATTGATTTCAGAGAGAAGGGGAGAGGGAGAGAGAGATAGAAACATCAATGATGAGAGAGAATCACTGATTGGCTGCCTTCTGCACGCTCCCTACTGGGGATCGAGCCTGAAACATGGGCATGTGCCCTTGTCCAGAATCAAATCTAGGACCCTTCAGTCTTCGGGCCGATGCTC